TTACTTTTGTTTTCTTGGTTTAACCTTTTGTGCTTTTCTTCTTAACCAACTTCATTTTCTTCCTGAGTCTTATTTTTTTTTTTTTTTCTTAGTCTCCCTTCTTTTCTTTTTATTTTGACAAACTTTATTTCAAACCCCAAAACTTTCTTTCATTCTTTGCGAATTATCTAAATATTTTTCTTATTTTCTCACACACCCAACATCATAAACAAATCCAGTGTTTCCATAGTGACGAACTCTCTGACCTCAAAAAATATCTCATTAAAGAAAATAATTGTTTAAACTCAAATTTGCCCTCAGACACGAACTTTGCCTTGACTCCACCCTCGGGATGCCTGTCTTGCACTATATTGGCCCCAGTTATCCTTTATCGTCTGCTTAAGGGTATCCCAATTACCCGAAGGTCCCTTCGTACGCCACTGATCAACCTGCTGTTACCACCCACGTAGTTCCAGGTCTTCCAGGAACTTGCCTTTCAGATAAGGGTATCAGGATTCTTTGTATGTCCAAGAGGCTCTTAGCGTTTAGAATTCAAACTAGGTGCAAATTTCTGCTTAACTTTTCGCTTTCTTTATCAAAATTATTTCGTTATGTCATAAATTTCTTTCTTTCAGGATTTTCTATTTACCATTTGTAGTATTTTCAGTTTTACTTCTTTCTTTCGTTTTTTCTTTCTTTGGGAATCTTTTTCTTTTTTTTCTTTCTTTCACTCTTTTTTGAGAATCTTTCTTTCTTTCTTTCTTTCATACTTTGTGTAACGTCCTTTCTTTTTTTCTTTGCAAATCTTTTCTTTGTTTCTTTGTTTGTTTGTTTCTTTGTTTCTTTCTTTCTTTGCGAATCGTGCTTTCTTTTTCTTTTTGTGGAATCTTTTTTCTTTCTTTTTTATTAGCGAGTCTTTTTTTCTTCCTTTCTTTCTCTCTTTCTTTCTTTCATACTTTGTGTAACGTCCTTTCTTTTTTCTTTGCAAATCTTTTCTTTCCTTCTTTCTTTCCTTCTTTCTTTCTTTCTTTCTTTCTTTCTCATCCTCTCTTAACTTTATTTTCTTTTTATTTTGCTTGACTGCTATTCATATTTTTACGTTCCCTTCTTTTTCTTCCTTTTCTTTTTCATTTCTTTTTTCTTTATACCCTTTCTTCTGAATCTCTATGATGGATCCAGAGTATGTGCCATCATGTTTTCATTCTAATTCCAGATCATAGTTTATATTTTGGAAATATTTATCTTGAGTCTTGTTTCTTGCAACCCTTGATAGATCTAAATAGTGACAACTCAGACATACATTGATATACAGAGGATGTTGAATTTTTGTTCAAAATTACTCATATCACAACTATGAATATAGTCCCCGGTATGACGATAAACTACATGCATTTTTATAGCGAAATGTCAGCAATACATTTATATAAAAAAAAGTGGCCAACACTACATTTTCTAGCAGAATAATAAACAATACCTTTTATCTGTAGGTGAAGGTGTAAAAGTGTGTTCAAAATATTTGGATTTCGGCATTAAATAAAGGTTGATGTGCCGCTAAACAAAATCAACCAACCAATTCTTTCATGATATTAATCCATATATCATACAATTTCTTAAAAATATCAAACTGTAATCCAAAATAACTGCAACATAAAACATATCATCGCCTCTAGCAATTCTATTCGCACAAACATGTATCTGCACAAAAGCCGAGTATCATTTACCACTTATTCAATTGTGAAAGCAGAATGACATATATCTTTATTATTTCAATCTCCCAAGAAAATTAAATTTCGGCATTAAATGACTCATAAGGAGTTGATTAAAGAAATAAATAAAATCAGAAGAAACAACTATGATTACAAATATCATTGGTATCTGTTATGGTCCAGGTTAGGACCAAGGAAGAACAACATGAACACAAGAGTAGAAATAACGAAGGTATATTACACGAAATAATAATACAAGATGTGGAAGGTGTTAGTATGACTGTCAGTCTGGTTTGGAGTGAACTACTATCGGTTCGACTCGATTCGGTATCTAGCCCCCACGAGAATTGGATGTTGCAGAAGGCCGAGTTTAACGTGGGTTTCCCGAGCCCGTAGGCTTGGCCCAAAAAATGCCCGTAGAACCCGTATAAAAGGGATCGGGTTGGTCAACCTCCCCGAACGAGACTCTGCCCTTCGGCGGTGCCTCGTCCGGATTCCTCTCTGCCCAGAGGCAGAGAGTTCGACCGTCAAGCCGAGCTTCTCGGCTTGAGTCGCCCCTCTCTCTTGAGAGGCGTAGTATACATAGTGTTAGGAAGAGTTCATTCTGTAGTTATAGGTAAGGACCTATGACAGTATAGAACCCCCCATCATCTTTAAATTGGCCTTGAAAAAGCAGGAACAGAGTTTTCTATTAGTAAATTCTTTTGGGATGTGGTATGGAATGCTTAAATGATCAGTGCCCATCTCTTTACATCTGTGCTTGTAGATGCTCAGAGCACAGTCCAGGAAGAGATTAAAATAAGCGTGACTTCTTGTCGTAACCCCGTTGAGGTTTGAAATGATTCGGTATTGGCGTCCTCGCCGAACACGTAAGGCATTGTGGATAGATATAGTTCCTATATCCGATCTAGGAATTCAGTGTATTTAGAGCTTGCAAGGCGATTTCTAATTGATGCGAAAAGGAACTCTCTATTGATGTGACCCTACACAGTTGTACGGTCAACATACGTATACACTTTTCTATTGATGTTTGATGATATATGCTATCATTACACTCCTTACCAGAACGAAAAGCAAATTGGATTGACTTTCATAGTATGGTGAGAGTTTAGTTAATACAATGTTCATTAGTACTTTTGTTGTAATGGATACCCGTCGTGGGTATGACGATAAACTACATCCACGTCTTGGGTAAGCTAAACTATTTCCAACAGCAAGGCCTCTGATCAGGAGGTTTTGAGGAGCATGGAACCACCTCTTAATTGCTGACCCGGGGTTGTAGTACCCGTTAAGGTCCCAGCTATGGGCAAAGAGTTGACCCTCCCTCAAACTGGGGGAGAGTCAACCAATATGAAATTGTAAATATAGGTTTTGATACACTCCATTTATCCGAAAGAATTGAGGCCATCATCTTCCCTGCAGATGAAACAACGTTGGCATTCTTTAGAAAGTGAGGAGGGCTGTTTCCACTGCATGAATTGTTTCTTTGTTTCTGGCTTGAAAATGATGAACGCAACATTTTGGTTAGGAAACATTCAAGGATAACAGCTGGATCTGCCTCAAAATAGGCTGACTATGAAGGGGTGATGCTAGAGCTGTGAAGTCTTGTGTGCATTAATGTCAACTCTACTTATTAATAACTGCATTGTTTCTTTCCAGATACAGGGATGAACTGAAATGTTCATAGGCTGACTATGACGGGAAGGGCTGACTATGATGGGCTGAAATGTTCATAGACTGACTATGAACTGGTGATAACAGAGCTGTGAAATGTTGCATATATTAATTTCAATTCTTCATTTTAATAACTGCATTGTTTCTTTTCAGCTAAACGGATATCTGAATGTTCAAAGAAACCTGTTCACCAACAGTAGATATGACATCATCATCCTCCTCCTGGTCAAAAAGCCATAAACAGCAGATATGCCATCATCATCATCCTGCTGGTCAAAAAACCATCAACAGCAGATATGACATCATCATCATCCTGCTGGTCAGAAAGCCACCAACAGCAGATATGACATCATCATCATCCTCATGGTCAAAAAGCCATCAACAGCAGATATAACATCATCATCATTCTGCTGGTCAGAAAGCCATCAACAGCAGATATAACATCATCATCATTATGATACTGGTTCCCAATTGTGTTTTTTTATTCATATTGGGGAACAGATGATAGTCAGATGGGGCTGAATCATGTGAATAGGGAGGTTGATCAACCAGTTTAAAGCCATACTCACGCACATAAACCATTGAAACCAAGAACTTGTGTGCTGTAGTATTGTCCTGATGAAACAAGATTCCTTTTGTTAGTTTTCCTGTGTGTTTGACCTTGATAGCCTTTCATAACTGCCTCAACAAGTTCACATAGTACTCTCCATTGATGGTGCGGCCCTTTTGAAGATATTCAGTAAAGCCTTTTACATTCCCCAAAAAATGAGGCCATCATCTTCCCAGCAGATGAAACGAACTTGGTCTTCTTTGAGCAGGTAAGGAAGAGCGTTTCCACTGCATGGATTGTCTCTTTGTTTCTGGCTCAAAGTGTTGAACCGAACACTCACCCAGAGTTAGGAAACGTTCAAGAAAACCAGCCGGATCTGCCTAAAACAATGTCAAATTTTCCCATAATGAGATCAGCCTGGTGCGCTTTAGATCAGGTATCAGAAGTCGTGGCAGCCACAGAATAGAAACCTCCGTCATGCCAAGTTCATTGTGGCAAATATTTTCAACTTTCTCACGGGATATGTTAATAGCATTGGCTATTTTATTTATAGTCAATCGTCAGTCATTCAAATGATGAATTTTCCTCGGTGGTGGCAGTTGAAGAAAGTTCAGACCTTGAGTTATCTTCAAAACCCTTCCTTCCGCTCCTAAATTCAGCTGCATTTATTGCATTCTTGAGTGTCATCTCCTAATGTAGCAAACATGTCAGAATCAATGAATGCCCCCAGGGGGGGCGCTAAACCGTTTTTCAGTTAACCCCATGTTGCCAAATTCTGTCCATTTCAAGAAAAGCCGCTATCAGTTATTTTTGATGACTTCTTTGAAAAGTCAGATGTCAATTTACCCAGAAAGAAACAATACAGTTATTAATTAGTATTGTTGAAATTAAAGCATGCAAGAGTTCACAGGTCTAGCCCATTTTTTATCTCACCTTCGTAGCAGTTAGTATGATTTTCTTTGTTTCTAACAATATTTTCTTATATCTTAATACTTTTCTTAATTTCTGAAAGACACCTTTCTCCATTCCTCCTATGAATTTTTAAATATCTGTGTCACATATTCTGTTATGTTACAATCCGACTTGAGGGCTTACGGTCATATTACATTGAAACAGCGGTTCCCGTACGATCACCTAAGTTAAGCAACGTCGAGGTTCGTCAGTACATAGATGAGTGACCGCTTGGGAATACAAAGTTCTGTAACATTGGTTGTACAACTGGTGTAATGGAAAATCGGAGAGCCGTGTTCCAATTCCAGTTGGGTTCGTTTTAGTTAGTTACGCGCAGAGACCCTCGGGAAATGTATGAAACCACCTATTTTCCAAAAAAAAAAAAAAAATACAATTCTTCTTGTTGTTCTTGATATTGTTCTTCTTCTATGTGCCATGTCATTTTAGGACGTTATCGATCATGGCTCTCCTCGATTTCTTGTAGCTCTTAATAACTTTTACCTTTTTGTCATTTCTGCCAAAACCTGCTACACCATTTATTCACTGAAGCTTGCCAAGTAGGTTTTGCGTTGATTTCCACTGTCTTACTTAACGTCCTGTGAGTATCAAATTTTCCAAGCCTTCCTTCTTCATTATGCGCCCCAGAAATTTCATCTGTTTCTTCCTGAAGATACTTATAAGTATCCTTTTTGTTGCCATTGCTGCCAGGGTTTCGTTGTTATTCACATATTCGGTCCAAGGTATTCCCAGCATCCTTCTGTAGAACCACATTTCTGTTGCTTCAAACCTCTTCTTCATCTGTGAGGAGACCGTCCAGCATCCTCAGGCATATGCACCAGTACCTCGCTAAAAATTATTCTATGGCGAGTTTTCAATAAAAAAAAAACGTATAGTTACAAAGTATTAGTCAATCGGGTTTAAGAAAGGAAGTGTAGAGGAATTAGTGAGGATCGAACTTACTACACTTTAGTAATTGCCCGCCATAGTAATTTTGCAACCACGGCGAGGAGCCACCGCATGTATGCTGCATGTATATATGTATGTTTGTAAATGTGTTTGTATTTAGTGTCTATTTGTTATGACGGCGCTCAACAAGATTAGTCAATCCACACTTTTGTCTTGTAAACGTCACCACCACATGTCACTGGCACATCTCCTTCGACCCGTTTTACAAGGTAATTACATTGCGCCGACATTTAAGTCTTCCAGGGGGGTCTTTTGCCGGCCGCTTAGACGTCTTTCCCTGGGATGTATACTAACATAAAACCCCCTCCAAAACCTTTCTCTCCCGAGATTTACTCTCTAAGTTTTTATTTCTTTTCTCTTTTGCAAACCCGGCGCTTTACAAACGCCACAAAGAAAAGAAGACGAGGATAATGGAAAAGGTTGTAAATCAGAAAATAAGTGGAATATTTGATATGCTAGCGCCGAATATGGCGGAGGGGGGTTGTTATTTTTATTTTTTTTTTTTTTAGGGAGTCTTTTCAGGAACTGGTGCATGCTGGACAAGCATATCTTGTTTCAGTCATTAACAACAAGATGGAAAACGGCATGTAAAAAAGAAATTCAAAGGAAAATATTGCGAAAGCAATCGGAAGGAAATTAACTCAAGGTTCGGACATTTTTCAGTTGGGGGAAACTAAAATTAAAATTGACATTAGCACTGTCTTTGACAGCATTTAATACGAACCTTCTTTTTAAATAGAAAAAATAGACTAAAGAAAAAGAAATATGACTAAAAAATCGATTTAAGTCTTATAAGCGAAGATAAGACGCGCCTGCTTGGCTAATTTTATCCCCAACGCCCAAATACCGCAGACGGCCACTTCTTCCTAAACCGAATTCATAATATAATTTACTCAGACGACATACTACTACTACTACTACTACTACTACTAATAATAATAATAATGACATGGAAATCTCAAAAATGGGGCACATTAGGGCATTAATAATTCCACTTGTATTTGGAGCACTCGGAGTGATTGGAAAAGATTCCAATAGACTCATTGAAAGGATTCCTGGTAGCCTTAAAGAAATACAGAAAAAATGTTTTCACGAGTAGAGCCCACACCTAACGAAGTGCTTTATCTATGTAAAATATGTCTGATTTTTCTTTTCAAAATTGTTCAGTAAATAATATCATGGTGCCATTTCTGATCTTAGGTCTCCGGTCGGGATACGGGAAGAAATGAGTATACAATAGAAATCAATAATGATAATAATAATAGTCGTTGTTTTTGCTATTATTATTATTATTATTATTATTATTATTATTATTATTATTATTATGATTTCCTTTGATTTCTGTTGTATACACATTTCCTTCCGGGTTTCAGTCAAAGGCCTAAAGTCAAAAATGGCTTCATGACATTTTCCACTGATCATTTTTGTAAAAGATCACACATATTTTACACAGATTAAAGTAAAACTCTTCGTAATGTGTGAGTTAATCTTGTGATTATTATTATTATTTATTTATTATTATTATCCTTTTCTTTGATTTCTGGCGTTTACATTTCTTTCCGGGTCCCGCCCAGGGACCTAAGGTTAGAAATGGCGTCATGACACTTTCCATTGACAAAAAAAAAAAAAAAAAATTAAATTACATAGATAAAGCCCTTCGTAAAAAGTGTGGGCTGTACTTGTCAGAACAATTTTTGTATCTCCTTGAGGCATGGACTTCCAGGAATCCCTTCAATTAGTCTACTGCAATCTTTTCCAACCAGCCCTAGGGCTCCAACTACAACAGGGATTGTTGATGTTCCCATATGCCACATTTTCGAGATTTCTATTTCAAGGTCCTTGTACTTTGACAACTTTTGAATATCTTCAAAGATACATTGCAGTCAGCAGGGACTGCCATATCAATAAGGAGGCACCGTTTTTTTGTTTGTGGTCTTTAATAACAATATCTGGCCGGTTGGCCTTGATTGTTCTGTCAGTGTATATTGTGTAATCCCATAGAATTGTAACAGGTCCGATCTCCGTAACCGGGTCTGGGTGGTGTTCATACCAGTTTCTTTCAGTTTTCTTCCCGTAGAAGTTGCAGATTTTCCAGTGCAGATATTGGCCCACTCTGTCATGTCGGGTTTTATATTCTGTGGGTGCCAACATCGTACAACCTGATACAAGATGATTAATCGTTTCTGGATATTTATCACAGAATCTGCATTTTGGGCTGACACAATATTTTAGTATATGTGCTTGATAATTCCGAGTTAGCAAGCATTGGTCTTGCGCAGCAAGGATAAAACCTTCAGTTTCCGCTTTCAACCCTGCACTACGTAGCCACTGATGGGTACGGGTTTTGTCTACGTCAGCTTGTTTGGTACGGGCAGAGTATTGGCAATGAAGCGGTTTATCTTGCCATCGCTTCTGTAACTGGTCGGTTGCATTCGTCTTAGCGATCTTTTTTAGGTATTTTGCAGTATTATTATTATTATTATTATTATTTCCTTACATTTCTGATGTGTACTCATTTCTTTCCGGGTCCCCCCCCCCCAAGGAGCTAAGGTTAGAAATGGCATTATGACATTTCCACTGAAAAAAAAAATTACACAGACAAAGCCCTTCGTAAGGTGTGGGCTGTACTCGTAAGAACAATTTTTGTATTTCTTTAAGGCATGGGCTTCCAGGGATTCCTTCAATTAGTCTATTGGAATCTTTTCCTACCAATCCGAGGGCTCCAACTACAACGGAGATTGTTGATGTTCCCATGTGCCACATTTTTGAGATTTCGATTTCAAGGTCCTTATTATTATTATTATTATTATTATTATTAGCAGCAGCAGCAGCAGCAGCTACCATTGCTCTGTGTAGTATGAACATGCCCCAAATTTCAACAACTGACTGCAAAAGACATCAACTCTTTTACCATACACTCAGAAACAAAAACGTAATTGTGGTCATTTCATGGAGAGAAAACGAGACATGATTAGAGATCTATTCATAAGTATGATTTTTAGCTCTTCACATATTTTCGGGTTGCCTGGAAAAGATGTAACCTCGGAAATATAGCATAACGGTTATTGCAGTCTTCAAACCTCCAGAATTCGTTTACCGTATAAACTCGTGTTTAAGTCGGCTTCATAAGTGCGACTCTTGAATATTTTTACTTGAATTTTAAACCATCCAGAAAATATTTACCTGTGTACAGTGCAACCGGTCACCGAAAAGGTATGGTTTTTGTACTTCTTAAAAAAAAGAAACAATTACCGTAATTCCCCATGTATAATATGTCTTCATCCATAATACGCACCTCTAGAATTGTGCTAAAAGTATGGGAAAATGCTCTTACTCACGCATAATACGCATCTCTTGTTTGCTAATCAATTGTATCTCTCCAATTTCATGACAGCCAGCGTTTCCTACTCTTACTAAAAATGGTTTTAAACATAGAATAATATTCTAATTTTGTTTTGTGATAATTCTTATTTGATTTTACATTTGTAAGTATTGTTAGGTACATAGGGTTGTAGTTGACATCCTTTTGGGATCGCAGTCGCCGAATGTTAGTGTCAAATTGTCGTATGTTTGTGGTGAGTAGTCATTTCGCAATTGAAATCGAACTATGAAACGGCAATATTTTAAAGATTTTTTTGTAGCTGTTCATAATACGCACCCCTAATTTTGCTTATTTTTTTCGAAAGAAGATGCGTATAATACATGGGGAATTACGGTATCTATATAGAGTGCAATCGCCTATTTTTGTGTAAAAAATGTGACCATAGAAACTTGCGCTATACTCGAGTATATTAATCATTTAAAAAAAATTATTTAGGCGGCGCGAGGTAGCGAAAAAAGTTGATTTTTTAAAGGTGTACAAGGTATTGATATCCTCTCTGATAATGTTACCTGTTTGCTTGGATAGGCTATTGAAAATGCGTTCAAAACTTGACACTTCAGCGGTTCATTTTGATTGATTAGAAAATACATTTTATATCATCAAATACGGTATATTTTAATATTATTAGTAGCTGTGGTTATTTACATGTGTGGCGCTGTAAATGTCCAGGGATAATCTTCAAGCAGTTACGAAAGTGGCTGACAATTTTGTTGCAACAAAATCGTAAAATCATGAAAATGATTTCCTGTTTGTGCTGATCATTGACAAGATTTGATCATTGACAGATTTTTTTTTTCTCCACATTTAAAATTTTTCTTGAAGCTTTTATTTTAGTTTTAATTTCAGGCTAATTGATTAAATTTAATATCTCCTATAGGCAAAACAATTTGCTGTATTTCAAA